CTTTTATCTTACTCAGGATACAGCAGCAGAGGTCAACACAGTAGAAGTACACTACTTTGGTATCTTGGTGGCCTGCACAACAGCACGGTGATTGCTACATGGCATTTGTGCCCAAGTTAGATTCAACATCTTTTCCTGTGAGCTCTTTGTGAATGGCACCTGGCTCAGCCTTCTTGTGTCATGGGCAGGATTATACCTTTACAGTGCAGAGAGGGTGCTTGCTTCCCTCTGAAATTAATTTCTTGCCTATGACCAAAATAAGCTTATTTTGGTTTAGCTATTCTTTAGAGATTTTAAATCTTTTTTAAGATAATAATTTGAAAAATTATTTTATGCAAATTTTTATCACAGTGAACAGTATATGAAATGTTTTAGAAGACTGACTGAGACTGGGAAAGCAGAGTTTTGCATATAGTTGCATATATGTGCACACATTCCAGAGTTTTTGGGCTTGATATTTTAATTAGAACATAATTAGAACCAATCAAAAATGATTTACCTTGGTTAAGACAAAACAGGGACACCAGCCTGTTATATAATACTTTCTTGTATTAATCCTGCTATTGCATATTATGCTAACTGAAAGGAATTTAAGAGTATGTCCTGGATTTAAGATGAATTTCTCATATCCCTTTAAAAAGTTGCATTTGCAGGGGCATAAACATTATCAGGGCAAAAATTAAACTGAGAGTGTGGAGTGTGAAGTCTTGCTTCTGATTTCAGTACTATGGATGGGAATTTCTGTAGTACTGGTATCATTAAAAACAGTGCTACTTACACTCTATGATCTTCGGATGTATCCCTTCTAGTCCCATAGACCTGTAGATGTTAGTTCTGCTTTTCAACATGTATCAATTCCTAAAATAGTGTTTTGGATTGTAGTTCAAATTGACTCACACTGCCAAAGTGAATAATAAAGATGCCAAGATTTGCGTGATTCTGAGCAATACCCGTAAAATCGCATCATATTCTTTTGATCATAGAGCTAAAATATAGTCAAAAAAATGGAGGAAGATTTTGGAAACACCTGCCTTTGAGGCAATTTTTCAATGGCTTTATGGAATAGTCGGCCACTTCCAAAACCCAGATTTTATTAGAAGCTTACATTTTGAATGGTTATGTTTATCTGTTTCATAAAAGAAGTTGAAATTTAGGTTTTCAGAAATGTTCCCAAACCATGACGCATGTTCAGAATTCCAGGCATTTAGTAGTGTTCAAAGCCAAATAAAATAAACCCTGTCTGTTGTCAGTCATCTTTCTAAGAAAGTGACCAGGCTCTATTGCCACCTGGCAGAGATTCTGCTTTAGTTCAAAAACTTCAGAACTAGAATCTGGAGAACTGATCTTTTACTGTTAAACGCTTGCAGATACTGAAGTGACATATTAAATGACTGAATACCCATGTAACTTCGCCTGGTAACTTAGTCAACAGTCCTGATCCAGTGCTGAAGGACTGACAGCTCGTGTTTTTTAATAGGATATTTTAATACCAGTGCATATCTCATAGTGTAGTGTACTATTGTTAGAAGAGTGAATATCCCAATTGAGTAAACCATAGGTATAGCATGTTGATAATGACATTGGTTCATTCTTGTCTATAGATCCGGGGATCAGATATAAGACAGATTGTTCTATATTTAGGAGTTTGCAGTAGAGAAACATGATGAGCTCTCCTAGACTACCTCATGTAAATAGATATTCTTTTCTTTAGATACCTGTTTCTCTATGAGTTTTCTGGTGGGAACTCAATAAGGATGTAAGTCTGGCCGTGAACATCACTTCAAAAAAACAGTCAAGTCTAATAGTTCCAAATGATGAGCTTTACCATAATTTGAAAGGAATCTAAATGTCACTTAAATGACATTGCAGATTGCTTCATATGTGTCTTCCAGTTCTTTTTCTGCTCCCTCATCAGAACAAAAAAATCAGAAATAGACCAAAAAGTCGGGGGAGGGGAAGTAATAAATATGATGAGGTTCCCTTTCACAGAGAAGAAAAAACAGTGGAAGATGGTCTGTAGGATCAATATCACCATGAAGATCTCATCTAAATTTTGAACATCTGTTCCTTCTCTTCCACATAAGTGTAGCTTCTCCAGTGAGATAGCTTGGAAGTAAATAATTTGCTTCTGCTCTTTATTTGAGATCTAGAACTTATATTTGCATTTTAAATATGTACTAAACTTTGATAGGAGTGAGGTGAAGAATGAACTGAAGTAATTTCTAATAGAAACACAAGTGGTGATACACTTCAGTTTATGTTGTATATAGGCCTCAGTTATTCTCTTTGATGTAGCTCATAATACCTCTTCCCCACATTGTGCTATTCACGATTGCTTTCTTTTACCGATGTTTTCTCATGACCTTGAGTTTAAGAGATTTCATCAATACATCCCTCTGATTATCCGAAATGTTAGAGGTACTGTCAGATGTCCTCTTGCTCAATTGGATCTTCATTCTGTTAGAATTCGTCATGTATTAAAGTCTGAGTCACCAGGAAAGTTGAAGGTTATTTATCCTTTTTGGTTTGTTTTATTAAATCTCAGTGAAAATAAGAAAAGCTGGCTTGATTCCCTCTATTTATACGTAGAAATAACTCTTGTTCACTGAATGACCCTTAACCTATAGATCCAGTCATCCATGCCATGGGAAAAAAAAAATGTTGTGTCTATTCATTTTCACTGGATGTCATCCAGAAAGCAGAAATATTACTGCTTGTGTTCATCTTGTGTTGATGAACTGCAATAAAGGACTCTCCGTATGCCAAAGTTAATCTGCTAACATAAGATTTACTGCTCTTTACAGTGCCATGCGAAATGTACATCTTCAGCACTTTTTCCTGATTTTTAGCCTTAATTCTTTTTTCTTTACTCCTGGCAAATTATTCTACCGTTAAACTTTACCCAAGTAAAAAAATTGTAGATTACCTGAATTTTTTCCTTTCTCTGAAATATAAAATTATTTAATGTTCACCTATAAAGACACACACAGAGGTTCACATAGAAATGGAAATGCCAGCATTGTCATTTACAGAAGAATTCCTGAAGCAGCAGTGTCAGCCTCTAAATCTATGAAATAGTCCTGCCTAGGAGTGAAAATCAGAACTATATTACTTAAGCAGTTCAGTTCAGGTCCTGCAAGTGGCACCTAATTTAAGCAGGAACTCCACCTGAAAATAAGGAGTTGCAAACTCAGCTCCATTTTCAGAAAGCTGTACCAGAAAACATGCCAATGAATTTGTTAACTGTGCTTGCTGGCAGTTATATGCAAATCTATTTGTATACTGATTGGTTTCTCTACTGTTTATGGCATAAAAAATTTAAAATCTCTCAAGCAGAGCATGTGTAAATACATATGGACAGCAGAGTTCTGTTCCATGCTGTTAATACATTTGTACCCCAACCCTTTGCTTTCAGTTTGTTCCTAAGTGCCAGCAGCTTATTCCACAGCTGATGCAGAGGTCTGTGCCAGTGCAAAAGAAAAAAAAATAACCAGTTACACTATTTTTCTCTTATTCTGAAGCAGTGAAGTCCCTCCAAAAGGCCAATCTAAGTTCACCGTGAGGGCATTAGCAGAGGCTACTTTAAAATAAAAATCTTTTAGTACTAGTCAATTGCAGGATAAAGCCTTTTCTGTTCTATGTAAATAATTTTTGATCAACGTACTGTTCTAAGGAAATTCCCGATTTGCATATCCTATAGCATATTGTCAGACCCTGTCCACTGGGTACAATTGTGACACAAGCTGTGAATATTCAGCAATAGGAGTCTGTAAATCTGAGTAAGTAATGACAAAGCCTCTTTAGGGAAAGCCAGAATGAGGTGAGCTGAGTAGAATAATGGCAGTCTTGGGGGGAAGGGGGATATTTTAATTTAATCAAAGGCAGAGCAACTGAAAAAGATACTGTTAAAAGGACTTGCTCTGTGAAGTAAATACTTTTCAGATAAATGCACAGTTCAAACTGACGTGCTAAATTGGCATCCTTACATCCACTCTATTCTCTGGATCAGAGGGAAGTTAATCATTTCACTTGCCTTTTACCTATTTTATGGATGTCTGTGTGGGTATGTGTGTATGTATGTGTATGGTGTGCGCATGTGCACACACGAGTAACAGAAAATAATGGCAATGAGGGAGGGGTTTTTGTTTTTTCTGTAATGAAGCTGAAGATTTATTTTTTTTTATGTAGTGGTACCTCATAGTCATTGCCCACTATTGTAAAAGCTCAGAAAGTATTGCAGCTTTCTCTTGCCTGTGTTTGCCCAGCCACCCTTCTACATACTACAAGCACTGGGAAATTTCAATGACACAGCTTGGAATGGGTTCAGTGACCTCAATTATGCCCTCCCACCCACTCCAAACTCCTTTCAATTTGCAAAAAGCTTTAAGTGGACAAAACCCAGATGCCTTTTGCTTGTAGTTCAGTAAGAACAGATTGGGCATGTAGATTCTTGTCAAAGTGATATATGTAGTTCATTTTCCATTAACTCTTTCTTAACTAAGGATTTTAAATTCTCAGTTCCAAGTCTAGCACTCTGCTTTGCTTTCTACTGCTTTTTAAAGTTCATTCTGCCTACAACATCGCTTAAAAAAATGAACCTTAAAAAGCCTCAGTTAGACATTGACTGATATGAAACAGACTGAATGTTTGGTTCTGCTTTTAAAGGCAATCACTTTTTTTTCTTTTTAAACTTGTTTCGTATGTAATAACCCATCCTATTGTCTAAGACAGTTCAAAAGCACTAACTAAATATAATAAATAAATACACCAGTTTGCGGGAAGAAAGAAATCATGACTTGTGGAAATGATTTACCAGTCAAAACCGATATATGGGCCTTGATAACCTTGAGAGCTTGCTTGAGTTGGCTTGTCTAAACTTAGATTGCTTTCATAATGTTGTAATATTGCCTGGAAGAGTCAGTGCCTCTCCCCTCCCCCAGAACATTTCATTACACTCCCTTTCTCCCTCTCTCTCTCTCTCGTTCTCTTTCATTCTGCAGAAACATGTGCTGTCAATAATGGAGGCTGTGATCGGACTTGCAAGGATACCGCGACAGGGGTACGATGCAGTTGCCCAGTTGGATTTACCCTGCAGCCTGATGGGAAAACGTGCAAAGGTCAGCTTCTGTTTGCTTTGCAATGCATCATTTGCCTTCAGCAGTTCCAGTACAAGATGTAAATATTCAGTTATTTAATCAATACCTTTAAGTTAAGGCAATACTGGCATAGTGATCGCGATTGAGTTAATTAGCTTTCTGCTTCCCTGATTTTTCTGTATTTACCTATTTCATTTTTCTCTCCATTTATTAGAGGGTTTTATTGCTGGAAAGAAATGAGATACAAAGGTCAAACTGGTTCAAACTGACCAGAGATTTAGAGGAGCAATTCTGGGCTGCAAAAAGCCTTCACTTTCAAAGTATAGTCTGATAGCCTTGTAAAACTTCAGGCATCTAATGGTGTCTGAATTTGTCTATTCAAAAAGTAAGTTAAAATTCTCAGCCAGTACTTTATTACCTGCACTTAATCTACTGGTTATTACTGAGTGAAACCAAGCAAAAGATGCAGTGGTATTGCTCAAAAAACCCCAGACAATTGTCCATTTTTGCCCCTCCAGAATGTAAGTAGCCAGCTGCAAAGGAAAGCAAGAACAACATTTACTAGGGCACAGGTTTAAACCTGTGCAACCGATGCTCAGATTTTACTGTTCCAAAAGCAGCACAAGAACTTTGGCATTTTGTCCTCTGTGAGTGTGTTAAAACTGAGGTCAAGGGAAGAGAGAACAGAGAAAAGGATCTGAAATCACTGTCAACATCTGTTCTCTGTTAAGGAAACAGGGACAGTTCTCAAATATCCCTGCAGCTTCACACTTAATGGCACCATGCATGTAACTAGATTTGGATGCGTGCGAGTAGAACCAGGCCCTCCATCAGGCATTTCCCCATCTTCCTGTGCATTTCTTCTGAGCTCCATTGCAAGAGACTTGGTAATGGACACCTGAGAGGAGACATTGCTTATATTGTTGTCACAGAGAATACTTTTCTGTCACTCGGTGGCTTAGTGTAAGTTTACCTAACTTGCTTAGAAACTGTTGGGACTTTTTTCCTTCTACGTAACCAGAAATGTCAGAATTTCTTCAGTCCAGGGCTTGATGATACTTAAAATAGTAAAACCCACAAAAATAAACAGAAAACGTGTGGTTTCCTCTAGCTCCAGGCTAAAAAATCCCAGTGCTTGGGCATGATCCTGTTAGTATTTATAGAAATAACAGTCCTTTTGCCTGTTTATTTGAAAATAAAACATTTAAGCTGCCATTGCACACAATGTTAATAGTTAAGGGTGAGCACACATCAAAATCAGTCGTTTTAGTTCAAGCCACAAAAAAAATAAATGTTCATTTTTACAGGCAGACTAGCTAAGCCATAGCACAGCAGTAACAGCGATTCCACCATGTGCTTAAAAGGGGCATTTTAATACTGTAATGTAGACCTAGACTTGATCATTATGTTTATTATTGAAACTGCATCGTGAAATAAAGGTTAATTCTAAATTTAGAAGTTTGGCTGTAGAAGAAATATGAAACAATATTTGTATAATAATCAAGTGTATAATTAGTGCTACAGACAAAATGAAATATTCAGCTGATCTTCAAACTGAATAGCCTAGCTCTGAGTTTTTGCATTTTTCCTTTTCCCCTTTTTTATGAGAAGAAAATATAAGAAACAGAGGATGTTTTTTAGGATTTTTAGGATGTTTGGTTTTTAGGATGTTAGGATTTAGGATGCTTGATTTAGGATGTTAGGATTTTTAAGATGTTGCAGATTCTTTCTTAAAATAAGTGGTGACTGGAAATTAACTCACATGGTCTAGCAAACCAACCAGGCCATTCCTTTTTCACCTTTATTGATGTTTTAGGAAATACTCTTCATCCTAAAATGGTGAAATATATGTTTTGCATTTAATTCAACTGTAATTGATAATATTTATCTAATGAATTGCACTGGGAGATTTCTGGGCTAGACTCTGCTTCCCTAAAGCTGAAGTAACTTTCCCTTTAAATCTGCACAAAGGATCATACACTTAAACTGACCAGTGAAGCTGCTTCTGTAGCTTTCCCGTACAGCCCTTGGTGAAGACTGCTCTCTAAGATTTACGTCTTCTGAGTGCAAAAGGGAGCACATTGATGGACTGATGGTGATGCCTTCTCAGCTCCCCTTGCTTATAGGTAAAGCCTGGAAAAGGTTGAAGTGGAGAAATTCAGTGTGCCCATATTCCTTCCTCTGAGTTGTATAGGAAACAAGAAAAGACTGGTCAGCTCAGGTTTTTCTCCTTTGATTTTTTTCTCTTTGCTCTCCTTGATTTGACTGGTCCACAATTTCTCATATCTACAGTTCATTGTTGCCTCTAGCTGTAACATTACATCTTTGTGGTAAAAGCATTGGATTATCTGTAGGATGCCCTTTAAAGCATCTTCAGGGATCATGCAGCTGTCACATCCTCTCTTCCTTGTGCAGAGTTTTCCAGTCCCTCATCATTTGAAGAGAGGTTGCATTTCTAAATATGGGAGAAAAATACGCCATTGTCTATTAAAGGAAAGTAGAGAGACAGAGCATGTAAGAAAAGCTGAGAGAAATTGGAGAGGTAATTAATAGATTAGCTGAAAAATGCAATTGTGGGTTGAGCAAATTGACCAATATGTTAAGGTAGAGTTTAGCAAATAATGTTGACCAAAAAGAATGTTTTTATTGGGAAGTCTATGATTTTTCAGTCCATTTTGGCATCTTCTTCTCTGAGACATTTTGCATAGTGCAGCTACTATTTGAAATAACGTAGTTGCTTAGATTCAAGAGGTTTAAAGAAACATCCCCGCTCAGTTTCCCCATGTGTTGCCTGATCTAGTTGAGAGGCGTCCCTGCCCATGACAGGGAGGTTGGATTAAATGATCTCTAAGGTCCCTTCCAGCCTAGGCCAGTCTATGATTCTGTGATCTGAACTTTTGAGTTCAGGTGGACATTGTGTAATTTCTTAATCTGTAATTCTAGCTCACTTTGGGGTGATTTCCTCAATAGCACGCTTTTATCATACTGGTATTTTATGGAAATCTATTGCCACATTTGTTCCTTATGTTTTACGAGGGAATCAGGTAAATTAAAGAACATTTTTATTTTTAAATTAATGAAATAATTATATTATTTCTTCTAAATAATAGAAATTCTTAGATGATTCTGTTCAAAAATCAGGACTAGTCTGGTTTAGGCATTGTGGAGACATATAATGGAAATAAGAGTTTACAGTCCAAAATGTTCACAGGATTTTGTTTAGTAGTTTGGAATTCCATTAACTGTTTAGTATAGAAAAATGGCAAGTGTACGTACAGAAGGAAATGCATTTTTTTAACAAAGAGTATGTGCAAACATGCTTTATTTGTCAAAAGTTGGCACATAAACCCTATTAAATGTAACTAATTGTTCTCCACTGCTTGCAATATGATATTTCATATTCTGTAGTTCTGTCGTAAAAGCTGGGATGGATTCAAATCACACAGTACAGAACTGAATCAGGGCTGGAACTCGGGTATTTCTCCTGGCCCTTTCCAAATGTATCAGAGAATGCAGGAAAGCAACTTCCAAGTAATACAAGGGACCTACCTTCAGCATTTTTGCATTTTGACCTCTTACACAGGCTCAGTGGGAAATGAGTTGAATGCAGAGTGCAGTCTGGTTTATATCAAATGTCAATAAAATAGAGAAAAAAATGTTGTGGATAAAGTTTTAACATGGAATATGGACAGGTAGCTGCATAGCTAGTGGGAAGACTACTGTAGCAGAAGGTTGCTTTGGTTTCTGGAAACTGAAAAAATCTTTTTTAACTCTGAAAAAATCCCTTGTGTATATTACTTACCTGATCTCATAGTGAAATAAGAGCAAAAAGTACTGTCTCTGGTCTAGGTAGAGGGACCGTCATATGTATTAATAGTGGCTGGGATAAAAAAAAATCATTAAACTTTCGCTGTTCTTTAGAAGTCAGTCTCAAACTCACCTCTTCCCTTGTCTGGGTTGGCACATAATGGTAAATGCTCCTTTTCTCCCTTCAGCTTTCCTATCAACTTGGCTCTTCATAAGCCAAATGATGGAGACTTTTGTCAACTCAGAGGAGGTACATCCCAGGCAGAAGGAGTTCCATATTCTCCCTCTAATTAAGACTATTTAATTTCTCCTACCACTGTAACTGGGTGATCCAGCTTGATGCCAAGTTCATTTGATGTTGTTGATTACTGTACTACACATTAAAAAATAGTGTAGTTCATTTCCTTAAATGCCTACCAAGTCATCCCACGGAAGTCAGCTAATGGAGACAGAAAGGGAGACAGAGGTTTAAAACACACAGCAGCCCAGGATGTTTATTGCTCATTGCCTCCTACCCACTTTTTAATATCCCCTACACTGGGCATCTCAGGGGTTCTGTGGTCCCGAGCTCCCTTGTCTGTTGGTTTCTGTACATCCTTCCTGCTGCCTACCCTTTTCATGCATCCAGCTATAATCTGCCCTCAGTAAAAAGATTCATCAGTTTAGCATTTTAATTATATTAAATACCACTTATGTAGCTGATAAAGCAGGAGACTCATTTGCTAAAAACTTGTGGGGTTCAAGAGGAGTGAAGTCAGACTGTATTAGATGTAGCACAGCTTTCTGAAGATTGTTTAAATCCAGCTGCCAAACTGATCAAACAATAAAGGACTAATCTGCCCAAGGGCAGCTACAGAATAATGGGAGACAAGCTGAGCAAGGGAGCATTCTTCTTCCAGGTCTTATGGTAGAGAAGGACTAGGAATGACTGCAAAAGATATCCAAGAGTGGGCGAGTGGCTTTCTTTGTGGGTTCTCTAAGAAGTGAATTCGAGCAAGAGGAAGGGCCACAGGCTTGTGGCATGGTGTAAAATGTAGGACTATGTGCCTGATGTGCTCCATCTCCACCTCAGGGATTTAACAAAGGAGCTGCACCCCTGAGGCGCTCTTGTGCCCTAGAGTAATGCAGCTTCCCAGCACTGTACACATAGACATAGAGGAACTGTGCAGGATGCAGCCCTTGCTGAACTCTTAGAGTCAAATATAACTTGTAGG